TTTTAAGAATTTTCACATTGTTACATCCTGTAATAACACATATTACTTAGTTAACTTTATATTACATGTAATATAAAGTTAACTAAGTACTTTATATTACATGTAATATTACTTAGTTAACTTTATATTACATGTAATATAAAGTTAACTAAGTAATATGTGTTATTACAGGATGTAATAATTTGGTATTTCTTGAAACGGCCGTTTCAAGAAATACCAAATTGTTACATCCTGTAATAATTTCATGTTTATGAACGTTTTGAATATGATGTTATTAAAACTAAAGAGGAATCAATTGAAATGTGCATTTATGATAATGAACGTTTGTAACGAGAATTATAACGCTTGTAACGAAAATCATAACGTCTTTAATATAATGTTGGAAATGGTTTGACAAAAGCTCTTAAAGACATAAATTGTTTCATTTATATGGATTTACAAGCTCATAAAAGATGTTTTATATAAAATGAATACACAATAATTGAAGGGTCTAAGGAAATAACCTTATGGTTATCATGGGTTTAGATAATGCCAAACTAGCTGATCAAAGAACGTCACTATTATGGGGAATGCAAATAACATGTTATACTAAATATAAACATATATACGGCTTAACATATTAACAAATATCATTTTTACAAACTAATAAAAATATAAACCATGCAATCGCATTCATATTTTCTAGCGCTTTCTATTAACCCAGTGGGCATTTCGACGTCGAACGAACGTCGAGCGACGTCGGATCTCGACGTCGGATCGACGTTGGGTTTACGTTGGAAATGGAAATGTTATTTGACGTCGGATAAACTGATCTCGCGCGACGTCGGCATTCCGATGTAAACCAACGTGTTTTTTGAAAACTAAAAACGTTGCCTTTGGCAGGATTCGAACCTCGGTGTGTTAGATATTAAATCCTACGCGCTTACCACTACACCACAGGGACATATTAGTTAACGTGTTTATTTAGTAATCTATACTTGTAGCTATTTGGGAATTATTACTTTGATAAGAAATAATTTTGTTTAAATGTTATATAAATATTAAAACGAATAGTTATATATTATAAAAAATGTATACTCGAAAATGTTAATAGTTAAAAAACTATGCTAGTGCATCTTACAAAACCTCATGATGTTTTATCAACCATTATTCAAACTTTTTTCCATTAATAAAAAAACACGCTTAGTTCACATAATTATTGAAGAGCGCAATTGCACACATATTGTTGGGTTTGGATTAAATTTTCATCAGCGATGTCTTACGACGTTGTTCCGACGTCGTTTTAAGGACGTTGGATTGACGTCGGAAGACGTCAAAAGACATCGGAGTACGTTAATATTATGACGTTGCCCGACGTCTTTTTATCGACGTTGGATCGATGTCAGTACTGCGACGTTTTTTGGACGTCTTTTATAAGATGTTGAAACAACGTCAAAATACATCGAAACGACGTCAGGGGATGTTGAGATAAAGACATCGCCCGACGTCATTTTACTGACATCCGAGCAACGTCGGAATAGGTCTTTTGACATCGCTGATGAAAATCGTACGTAAATCCGACGTCGGATTGACGTCAGGTGCCCACTGGGAAGTTGTAAGAAGAAAAAAAATCGGAATGCTCTCTTCAGATAAACTCTGATAATTATTTGGATTCAATAAAAAATTTCCTCATGGAAATGATCCTTTATTATACGAAAGACTAATGATTTTAATGCATCTTTCTTACAAGATTTCATCTAGTGTCTGACCTTAACAGGGAATATATGCAAGGGATTAACCTTTACAAGTTATTGTCCCTCGGACAGATTGAAAACCGCAGTTTATTTTGTAATACAATAGTCGGAAAATTATCGCTACTGCGTGACTCCACAGGTTTTGAGGTTTCAAACATAATTAAAAGTGAATAGTAAACCACTCTTTTGCTTTTCGTGTGGGAACTTCAATTTTTTATTGGACTCTTCAATTGTATAAAACTATGTTATAATATATAAATAGAATATTACCGTAATAAGTATTTCTTATGCAATATTTAATCTTGTTTTAAAAATAAAGTTAAAGTTTAAAAAAAATTTAGGTAAAAGTTCACGCTTAACAAGTACACGTTCTAGTTAAAAGTTCACATTTAACAAGTACATACCCAATTAAACGTTCATACTTAACGTGTTCACACTCAAAATTTTAATTTGTTTAACAATATGTCAATACGACTATTTTTGACTATTTCGAATTCATTTGTTTTAAAATTAATTTTTTACTTTGGTTTTATTCTTGTTTTAATCTGATCCAACTGCTTATCCACAAATGAAAAAATGGCATGTTTTAAAATATAATTACTAAGGTTCTGCTGGAGTCAGAAGGTTGTATCTTTGCATGTTCTATTGACAATTGCAAATTACAAGATCTAGGTAAAAATTATTCAATATCTAGATAAAAATGATAGTAAAAGTTACATGAGTGTTTTGAATACATTTTTTGGTGTTGGTATTGAAAACCTAGAATGTGTTGGTAGATATTGAAAGCTAGAATGTGTTATTACCATATAAGAATAAGAACAGTCACAAACTTTAAAAAAGCAAAAACAATGCTTTTTCTTTCGTTTGCAATTTGTATTTACTTAAAAAAACTTTGCAATTTGTATTTACTTAGTAGTTAAGGTTTACAGATCGCATCGTTTACAAATGCCACAATTGATCGTTTACAAATGAAATAATTGATTGTTTACAGATGCAACAACTGATCATTTAAATATACATTAATCGATCGTTTACAGACGCAACATTCGATCGTTTACAATGCAAAAACCAATCGTTTACAGGTGTAACTGCAATTGTTTACAAAACTTGGTTAAAACTGCTATTAGGCAAAAATTGAGGTAACCTAAAGGAAACAACCAGCCGTGGCGCAGCCGTGGCGCAGTGGTAGCGCACTTGCCTCAGAAACGTAAGATTCGTGGTTCAAACCCCACCTCTGGGCAAGTTTTGCGACATCGGTTAGGAAGGAGGCGTGAACTTCCTATTAAATGCTCTTCCGCGGTGCTCTGTGATAAGACCGTAAGGACTTCTTGGGGCACCTTAATCAACTTTAAAAAAAAAAAAAAAAAAAAAAAAAAAAACAAGAACAGGAATTTTAGTGTGATTGTTTCATCTTGCATCAAAAAAACAATAGTTCGCAGTTCCTCATTTGTGTAGATAGTTGGTGTAAATGAAATGCTGATAAAATTAATAAAACAACAACCAATGAGGTTTTAAATATAAATTGTTTTGAAAGATGTTTTGAAAAATGTTTATTCAAGAGGTTCAGTAAAGACAGTGAGTTACAAAAATGTATGCATGACAAACTATAAAATGTTGATGAATCTTTCAATTAAATGATTTTAGACCGTATAACTAAATAAAAGTTTCTCCCGTTTAGCCAATTAGAAATGAATGCTTTTGATGCAGCAGCCAGTTTCATTACTGGACCAATCACATCTAATGATATTTTGAAGAAACTGGACACGAAATTCGGATTTCATATGATTAAAAATGTAAAGCAATCAAGAATCAAAGAACTGCAGAAATTATGCGCTGTCTTTTACTCAAGTTTTGCTAAAACCATTTTTTTCTTAGAAAAGCGGTTTTTGCATGCTAGACAGTAAAGTTTGGAGAGCCGTGTTAAATTTTTCTGAGAAACTGTTTTTCTCAGTATTTGGCCAGCGTGTTTATTTGGTCATTTGTGGAGATTTTTTGGTCACCAATGAAATTGCATGGATTTTAATGAACTATTTTAAGACAAAATAACTTTTTAACAAAACAGTAATTATTTTGTTGTCACAAATAACCATTATTTGTAAAAATATTAGGGTTTTAAAGGAGGGCAGCCCATCAGCAAGTTTACATTATTAATTTTTTAAATTATTTTTTACCTTGTTTTTACTCTTGTCATCAAACCTAGCATATTGTCCGAAGTAGAAGAATACATGTCTTAAGACATGTATTCCTTCCGTATGAGAACACAATACATGTCTTAAGACATGTATTGTGTTCTCATACGTAACTACCACATTAATATAGGCACATCAGTCTATTTTATTGAAATTGAGTTGAATATTTTTCTCATTAAAATGTTAAAATTAAATGGAAATGGAAAATGTGTATCGAATAAAATTTAGTGTGAATGTACAAATGTATTTTAAATTAAATGTTTTTACTAAAAATAAATTGTAAAAAACATTGTCAATTTAGTTGCTTTCAGTAAAAGCCAGTAATTTTGTTTTAGTAAAACAATTTTATTTGAAAGTGAAATTTATTTATACCTTTGAAATATATTTTTTTCCTAGATAATCTTCCTACTCAAAAAAGTCTAATTTATGAGACAATGCCCGAAAGAAAGCAAGATATACCTCGTTGGGCACCGCCAAGTTATGACGATTGAAAAATTTAGTAGCAGCTATTTTATAGCTATTTTATTTTTTTGATTGAATACTTCTTGATAATTTTATTAATAATTATTATATTATTGTATAATTATATTATTAATATTATAATATTAGTAAATTATTATATAATTTTATTGATAATTATTATATAAGTAATTATTGATAGTTTTAGTGTTTTTGTTGTTGTTGTTTTCTTTCTTTATAGAATGATCTATAAATTTGTTAACACCCAATAGTATTATTCACTAAAAAAAAATTAAGTTTTTTTATATATTTGTTTTAAAAATCTCTGTACAACTTCAATTCTTTATAATAAAGTTTTCATAGCTATTACAATATTTAAATATCGCTTATACGTTATTTCTATAGTTTATTATCGCTAAAAGCGACAATTCGGATCGGTGGTTTGAGATCCGAAGTTGTCGCTTCTCAAAGGTGACTATAACCGATGAGGATCTCGTGCTACGCTTCCCAACAGCTTTGTTATTTTGATAATTAGGTCGAAATGCGATATTCTTTATTTATTTTTTTTCGTATATCCTTAAACCTTCACTAACTTTTAACTCATTTACTATTGTAGAAGGGGCTCGCGTTAGCGAGCCAGAGGAAAAATTATTATACACTCATTAAACGGCCTTCTCCACGGAAATCTTTAGTAAAAGGCGAAAGATTTAAGCGTTAATGAAGAAAGCCCAGAGTTATTCGGGATATGAAAGTCAAAAAATAAAGTTTAAAATCAAATCAAAACTGCTTGTGGGTATATAAAATGTTACAAATTTCAATACATAATATTTTAAGAAACGTTGGCGACCTTTTTTCAAAACACAAATAAGGTGGCATTGAAATTGCCAAGTATTTTAACCAAAATTTGTAAAAATTAAATACAATAACAATTACATATTGTATTGTAAAACCAGAGATGCAACTAATACATTGTTTTTGGCTATTGTATTGCTGTGAATAAAAACAGTTACAATAAATATTGTATTGTTTTTTTTTCTAACAATACATTGAAGCTCTAAAACCATTGTTTTGTATTGCTGCGATGTAAAACAATTACAATAACTATTGTATTGTATTGCTGGGATAAAAAAATGTATATATATTTATATATATATATATATAAATATATATATATATATATATATATATATATATATATATATATATATATATACATATATATATATATATATATATATATATATATATATATATATATATATATATATATATATATATATATATATATATATATATATATATATATATATATATATATATATATATATATATATATATATATATATATATATATATATATATATATATATATATATATATGTATATATATATATATATATATATATATATATATTTATATATATATATATATATATATATATATACATATATATACATTTTTTTTATCCCAGCAATCAGAGACGTATTTGAATTTTTGGCGCCCTGGGGCACTGTTCCTTTAAGCGCCCTTTTTTAAGAATAATGTCAACTTTGATATGGGGTGATCATTAAAAAAAAAATCATTTTCTATACCAACATATATTAAGTTATATTAATCACTATAGAAAATTATAATTTTCTATGTGCGTTTTGTTTTGCAAATGTATTTATAATGTCATTAAAGTTCATATCTATGGTAAGTACAGATTCTATAGATAGAATTGCTAACCTATTAAGACGATCACTTGTCATTCGCGACCTCAAATAAGATTTAACCCTCTTTAATGCTGAAAATGATCTCTCGGCTGAACAATTGGACGTTGGGGAGCATAGATATATTCTTAATGCTATATCTACATAAGGAAACAGCTCTTGAAGTTTTTCAGTTTTGATCATTTTATAAACATCTATTATAGTTTTAGGTCTTAAGTTTTCAGTTAAACTCATTAAATAACTTCTGAATTGTATACACTCGTTAGCAAATGAAGACGAAAGATCATTTTTATATACATTTTGAAATACCTCTGCTTTTTTGTAAACTTCTGATGGCGAAAGTTTTATTATTTGAAATAAAAAGTTAAATTTTTTATTGGCTTTATCATAGCACAATTTTCTTCTTTCTAGTTCAGAATGAAGTTTATCAATTATAGCATAATATGTATTAATTCTTAAAGAGTCTCGAATTTTAAAATTTGTTTCTTCTTCTCTTTTTTCATCTGCAGTTAGTTTTCTTTTTCTTTTGCGTATTTTTCGATATGTTTTGTGTTATTCGTATGTTATTGCGTATTTTTCGATATGTTTTGTGTGCGTATTTTTCGATATGTTTATTGCTCTCTCTTCATAGATATCAAACATACTCCTTAAATCTAATACATATCGAATTAAAGATTCGTATAAACTTACAACTGTTTCTAAATCAATCTCAACTGACTGCAATTGTTTGCTAGTTTTGTTGAATCTCTCTAGTATATCGCCCCATAATGTGGCCATTATAGCTGTTTCAAGACTATCCAGTTTTAAATATAGCCCGTTAGCTTCTGATCTTGTAATAGATTTTTCTGTTTTATCATCTTTGATAAAAGACAGTGCATTAATTATTTCAATCCAATTTTTGTTTAAACTAATACTTGCATCAGATCTTGCTGACCATCTGGTATCTGATAGTTTTTTAAGAGATACATTTTCTGTTTTAATCAAATTCTTCTGAAGTATTTCCCATCTATAAGTAGAGGCACTGAAAAATTTATAAATATTTTGAAGCAGAATAAAAAATTCAGAAGCATAAATACAACAGTCCACAGCGCACTCACCAACAAGATTTAAAGAGTGGGCCGAGCATGGTACAAATGTTGCTAAAGGATTAACTTTTTTAATGCGAGCTTGAAGTCCTGTGTATCTACCAGACATATTAGACGCATTGTCGTAACTTTGACCACGACAATTATTAATATCTAATCCATGCGATTCTAAAACTAAAAATACAGCATCTGCTAATTCTTCAGATTTATGACCAGAATTAGGTAAAAACCCTAAAAATCTTTCTACCGGACAGCCATTCTTTTGAACATACCGAAAAATGAATGACAGTTGATCTGCATGGCTAATGTCAGGAGTAGAATCAATACTGATGGAAAAGTATTTAGCTTCCTTTATTTCTTTCACCATTTGTTGAATAACATTATCTGCCATTATACTTATGAACTGCTCATATATATTAAATGATAGGTATGATGTTGAACCTTTTCCTTTATTTCCAAACTTCTCAATGTGTTGTGCTAAAAAAGGATCAAACTGAGCAATAAGCTCTAAGCTCATCATAAAGTTCCCATTATGAACAGATCCAAAACGGTCATCATCGCCTCTAAAAGACATTCCACGAGAAGAAAGGGATTTCACAACAGCTACAACTCTTATCAATACATTTTTCCAATAATTTATTTCTGTTTCTACTTGATACTTTAGCTTTTGATCAACTCGATTTAACACTTCTTTTCTTTCTTTCATATTCATTACACACAATTTGTGGTGTTGTGAATTTTCATGACGCTTGATTTTTTCTTCTCCTTTTTTCCAATCTGAAAAACCAACTGTGGCAAACAATGTAGTGCCACCAAATAAATAGCAGGGAGCACAAAATATTGATCTTTTACTTTCTGAGTAAATCAAAAATGTTCGGTTAATTTTTTCACCATTAACAAGAGTAGATATAAATATACTTTTTGACATATATCGAAAACGAGTACGTCTTACCCCACCAATTATTTGAGTGTAAATTCTTTTTGACTTTTGGAAATTATTGTTCTCTAAATTTTGGTTAAATCCATTGATTGATAAATAATCTATCGTTTCTTGATTTTTTATCCAATTGGCAGGATCATTTCTAAAGGGAAAATATATTTGTTTAATATACAAAAACCAAAAAATATTATTCAAAGTTTATAACAAATTGTATAAAAAAAACATTCAAGCATTAGGTAATAGAGATAAATGCATAATATAATATAACTAGAGGATATAGGTATCGTTTAAAATGTACAGAGTGTACTATATTTGTTAATAATTTAATTTCCAGCATAATTTTACATGACAAGCGACTTAAAAAAATAGTCTACCTTTGTACATGTTTATAATTGTAACCTACCATGAAAAAAATTAAAAAAAGCTTACTCAGGAACAATACTTTGTTTAGGAAGACTGTTATGTTCAACCATTGGCAAACGTGGTGTATCATTTATTTCTTCCGATTCTGTAGACAATAGAGTTTTACTCGTTTCTGTGCTGCTGTTATTTAGTAATATAAGATTGTCTGGATTTGTTAGATTATCTTTATTAACAGTGAATCTGTGATCATTTTGGTTTCTATAGAGAAAATAATAATAAATTTTGTATAACATGCATGTACCAAAAGATATTATTTATAAATTATATCAAATTTTAAATAAAGATTTTACAATAAACATTCGGGCTTGTTATGTTCGTGCATGGACAAACAGGGTGTTTCATTTAGTTCTTTGGATTCTGGAGTCAATAGAGTTTTACTAGTTTCAATACAGCTCTTACTTGATAATATTAATATTAAATCGTCTGGATTTGATAGGTTATTCTCATTAACAATAAAGCTGTGATCATTTTCATCGCTTGTATTATTTACATTTTCAACTGAAAGCATAAATAACGATTACTACACATATCTACATTTTTGATATAAATTATTTACATTTAATAATAAATAACATAACAATATGAAGTATAAACAATAAATAACAGAACAATATGTACCTATATGTATATATATTTGCTAGAAAGCAAAATTAATAAAACGTATGGTTTTCTAGCTAAATAAACTTACCCGGCGATGTGTGAAGCTGTTTATCTGTAAAGCTAAAATATGTTTCTAACTTAGCAGTCTTTAAAAGTATTTTTGCTTGAGCTTCATTTTTTGCATGGGTTCGTTTTCGGTTTTCTGCGCCACTAAGCTTTTTACTATGAATCATCATTGCTTTTTAAAATAAGAATCCTAAAAAGTGTGTATTATATATATATTGTTATCATATATATATATGATAACAATAATGTTAATACTAAAACTAAAAACAATAATCGAAATACGAATATTTACCTTTTTCTGTACTGTATACTGTAATACAAGGGATTAAGCAGACAACATACCGAAGAACAAAATACTTAGGCCAACAATAAAAAAAACTGACAGCAATCTTAAAAATTCAAAATTATATTGTGCACACGTTGTATATACAAGATGGTTAGCAAAAAAGGCGATCAAAGTCAAATTGCTAATTTAATATAATTAATGCGTAATTTATTCTGCTCATCACTTCAAATTATATAAAAATAAATTAAAAAACAAACTGATTATTTAAAGTTTAAAGTATTTTTAAAGAGTTTTTTTTTTTTAGAAAATGTAAAGAGAATCTTTGAAGAATTATTTCATTTTTTAAAAGTAAATAGCTGTGTCTATACCTAAGTATTTCTGTTAATAAAGTCAATTAAGAGTAAAATGAAAATGTTAGGTAAAACGCACCATTTATTTTTTTCTAGTATATTATTTACTAATTAATAAATAAGGATCAAGTATTTGATTAATAAAAATTATAAATCATTTATTCAAAAAAATATATAAATTTTATTTATATCAAGATTAGATAGTATATTAAATAAGAACACTCGTAGGAGTAGACCTCGGAGCGCCAGCGTCAGAGTGATGAGCTTAACCGTTAAGCTATCGCTACATACCGTATCATTAAAATATTTATAATAAATAAATAATTTGTTTAGACACGTGACTTTCAGTATCAAATCAACGTTTTTAGATGAATAATCGGCGCATAATTATGTATAATTTGCAAGTTTAATTTGATCTCCTTTTGATTGATATTTTCTTCTGCTAACTAAATTTTTCTAAAATCAACTAGAGATATTTAGTAAGTCGATAAGTAGGTCTATGATTTGAACATAATAATAATATAAAAATTTTCGTGAAATGATATAAATAGGCTATTTTACAATTTTCTAAAATTCTAACATTCTGAAAGCTGGCGCCCTGTCAAAACATGGCGCCCGGGGGCCAAAGCCCCCTGGCCCCCCCGTAAATACGTCTCTGCCAGCAATACAATACAATAGTTATTGTAATTGTTTTACATCGCAGCAATACAAAACAATGGTTTTAGAGCTTCAATGTATTGTTAGAAAAAAAAACAATACAATATTTATTGTAACTGTTTTTATTCACAGCAATACAATAGCCAAAAACAATGTATTAGTTGCATCTCTGGTTTTACAATACAATATGTAATTGTTATTGTATTTAATTTTTACAAATTTTGGTTAAAATACTTGGCAATTTCAATGCCACCTTATTTGTGTTTTGAAAAAAGGTCGCCAACGTTTCTTAAAATATTATGTATTGAAATTTGTAACATTTTATATACCCACAAGCAGTTTTGATTTGATTTTAAACTTTATTTTTTGACTTTCATATCCCGAATAACTCTGGGCTTTCTTCATTAACGCTTAAATCTTTCGCCTTTTACTAAAGATTTCCGTGGAGAAGGCCGTTTAATGAGTGTATAATAATTTTTCCTCTGGCTCGCTAACGCGAGCCCCTTCTACAATAGTAAATGAGTTAAAAGTTAGTGAAGGTTTAAGGATATACGAAAAAAAATAAATAAAGAATATCGCATTTCGACCTAATTATCAAAATAACAAAGCTGTTGGGAAGCGTAGCACGAGATCCTCATCGGTTATAGTCACCTTTGAGAAGCGACAACTTCGGATCTCAAACCACCGATCCGAATTGTCGCTTTTAGCGATAATAAACTATAGAAATAACGTATAAGCGATATTTAAATATTGTAATAGCTATGAAAACTTTATTATAAAGAATTGAAGTTGTACAGAGATTTTTAAAACAAATATATAAAAAAACTTAATTTTTTTTTAGTGAATAATACTATTGGGTGTTAACAAATTTATAGATCATTCTATAAAGAAAGAAAACAACAACAACAAAAACACTAAAACTATCAATAATTACTTATATAATAATTATCAATAAAATTATATAATAATTTACTAATATTATAATATTAATAATATAATTATACAATAATATAATAATTATTAATAAAATTATCAAGAAGTATTCAATCAAAAAAATAAAATAGCTATAAAATAGCTGCTACTAAATTTTTCAATCGTCATAACTTGGCGGTGCCCAACGAGGTATATCTTGCTTTCTTTCGGGCATTGTCTCATAAATTAGACTTTTTTGAGTAGGAAGATTATCTAGGAAAAAAATATATTTCAAAGGTATAAATAAATTTCACTTTCAAATAAAATTGTTTTACTAAAACAAAATTACTGGCTTTTACTGAAAGCAACTAAATTGACAATGTTTTTTACAATTTATTTTTAGTAAAAACATTTAATTTAAAATACATTTGTACATTCACACTAAATTTTATTCGATACACATTTTCCATTTCCATTTAATTTTAACATTTTAATGAGAAAAATATTCAACTCAATTTCAATAAAATAGACTGATGTGCCTATATTAATGTGGTAGTTACGTATGAGAACACAATACATGTCTTAAGACATGTATTGTGTTCTCATACGGAAGGAATACATGTCTTAAGACATGTATTCTTCTACTTCGGACAATATGCTAGGTTTGATGACAAGAGTAAAAACAAGGTAAAAAATAATTTAAAAAATTAATAATGTAAACTTGCTGATGGGCTGCCCTCCTTTAAAACCCTAATATTTTTACAAATAATGGTTATTTGTGACAACAAAATAATTACTGTTTTGTTAAAAAGTTATTTTGTCTTAAAATAGTTCATTAAAATCCATGCAATTTCATTGGTGACCAAAAAATCTCCACAAATGACCAAATAAACACGCTGGCCAAATTCAAAAACATGTGTATATTTTTACTATTCAATATATAACTAAAATATTGTTACAAGGTAACAATATTTTAGTTATATGAAACAAAAGGAGCAGATTTTTGGCTATGAAAAGGCTATGAAACAAAAGGAGCAGATTTTTCATAGAAATTTGTCATCACCACAATGTTACAATCAAACTTCATGTTCGAATTTTGTATATGTTTTTAAATTAAATTTTTTTTTTAATTAAATAAAATATTTTCTGTTTCATACTGAGAAAAACAGTTTCTCAGAAAAATTTAACACGGCTCTCCAAACTTTACTGACCAGCATGCAAAAACCACTACTCTTAGAAAAAAATATGTGAGTTCTGATGGATCAGCTTAAAAAAAAAGGTAAAAAGTAACTTAAAATAAAATCTTTCATATTTTATAGAGTATGCTGCAGTAAACAGTTCCAAAAAATTTTTATGTTTTTTAAACTTTATTGGCTGGCATTCACAAACGAAGCGTTCTATTATTATGTTTATGTTCTAACATAAAACTTATACTGACTTATTTCATTGGAGATTTCAAGAAAAAAAAATTTCAATTTTAATGATCTGATTTATGTGCAGAAACTGGTGTAGTTAAAAAAAAAAAAAAAAAAAACATTATGCATTGGTTGACATTTTATTGACGGCTTTATAGAGAAAGTTGCATTGTTAATTTTTTGAAGAATTTTGTAAAGATTTTTAAGTAATTCAGAACAGAAAATTCTTGTTTAAGCCATTTTAACTGATCAGAAGATTTTGGCAAGTTTATGAAGCTATCTCCATCAAAAAAAGCGTTTAAATCATTCTTAAGAGTAACAAGTGAATTTTTAGGTATTGTAAACGGAGTTCAGCTAGTAGTGCGTTTAAATCATTAGAAGGAAATATAAAAAGCCTAAATGCAAGTTTGCCAACAAAATTTAAAGTATTTTCTGTATTCATATCAAATAGTTTCGCAAGCATCAATTCAAGAACAGTATTTTCTCAAATCAAAAAATATCTGGAATAAATATTTTTTTATTTTTAACAAAGGCTTGGTCATTGAAAAATTGAATTCCAGAAATGACAAACATCCAGATACAGTTAAATTTCTTTACCATAATTCCTCTTTTCCTTTCTTTTTATGCATTCATTTAAATTTCAGGCTAGGCCACAACTGAAATTATCATTAGAATGTCATGTTCACCCTCTTCTGAATTACTGTTTGTTTCCTCAGCAATATTTGTGACTTTTTTTGTTTGTGTTACATAGATCAAGATGAATTGCATGATTGCATGAGCCACTTGTTTAGGAAGATGATTTTTTCTTTGTTGAATCGATAAGCAAGTAAATTTGTTGTTAGTTATCATATTTGTCAAAACACAGTCTAATCAGGTGGTGGATTTGAGTTGCTTTTTGATTCTCTGGTCAAAGGACCATCAATAACAATTCCATGATCCAAAATATATTTCCGCAAAGTAGTTGTCTTGTGACCCAGTAAATACAAGACAAGTTTTATCTAAGAAATGTTTTTATATGCTTTTTATACATATAAAACATATCTTTTAGTCATAAAATCTTGCTTTACTATCTAGCATATTAAAAATAAGAGAATAAAGATTAAAAAAAAATTAATTTTTAAAAGTTTGATGTTGAATGTTGGATTATTTTAAATTTTTTTGAATAAAAAGAGTATTATGAGTTTTAGAGTATTATGTTGTTATTGTTGTTGTTGTTATTATTATTTTTATTATTGTTATCTTTTTATTAGCTTTTTATACATATAAAACACATCTTTTAGACATTTAAAACACAACTTTCGTTTACTAGGTAGGGAATAACAAGAAGAGTTTTAGTGGAATGTTGTCCGAACTACGAACTACAAGTTTAAGTAGGAAATAACTTTAGCAACAGAAGCAGAAATGAATTCAATGCCTAAAAATGGGTCAATCTGTTTATTTAGGGCAACAGGAAGAGCATGTTCTTTAGATTTAAAATATGAGTTAAAGGAAAAAAATAACAAGAATTCTACTAAGAATAAATGTATAAAAAGTGGAATGTTAGACCATCATTAATGATATTGCTTAAGACTTTCCACAATTCTTTAGAATATAAATTCTGAAATAAATTACAGGATTTAGTAATAAGAATAATGGACCTTAGACCAAACAATATCTCTTTGTTTTTCTTGCAATGACAAAAACACATTTGTTGTCCTGAAAGTTGTTCTAGCGTAAAAGATGAAGAAAAAGAAATGATTAGTTAATTATCTGAGCAAGAGATTGAATGACAAAAAATTGAGACAAAATTTATGAGTTAAAGGAAAAAAATAACAAGAATTCTACTAAGAATAAATGTATAAAAAGTGGAATGTTAGACCATCATTAATGATATTGCTTAAGACTTTCCACAATTCTTTAGAATATAAATTCTGAAATAAATTACAGGATTTAGTAATAAGAATAATGGACCTTAGACCAAACAATATCTCTTTGTTTTTCTTGCAATGACAAAAACACATTTGTTGTCGTGAAAGTTGTTCTAGCGTAAAAGATGAAGAAAAAGAAATGATTAGTTAATTATCTGAGCAAGAGATTGAATGACAAAAAAATTGAGACAATAATAATAGTATATAACATATATATATATACATATATATATATATATATATATATATATATATATATATATATATATATATATATATATATATATATATATATATATATATATATATATATATATATATATACATACATACATACATACATACATACATATATATATATATATATATATATATATATATATATATATATATATATATATATATATATATATATATATATAATATTAATATATATATATCAAAATATATATATATATATATATATATACATATATATATATATATATATATATATATATATATATATATATATATATATATATATATATATATATATATATATATATATATATATATATATATATATAATACTAATATAAATATAATATCAATATATATATATATATATATATATATATATATATATATATATATATATATATATATATATATATATATATATATATATATGTAATATCAAAATAAATGGCAAGCCATTTATTTTGATGCATTAAAGTCAAAAAACAAAAAAACAAAATTAAGTGAAGAGGAGTTAAACAAAAGTAAATAAAAAAATAGTAAAAAGTTTTAAATTCACAAATAAATACATAACAAATTGATAATAAGAATTTTCCTAGGCCAAGCATAATATTCTCTGCGAACCAAAAAAAAGTAGTAATCAACACTAAGAGCTAATTTTGAATTAATCTCACAAAAAACAAGTTGATGTAGTAAATTGTTCAAGAAATATACTTTACAGACCACAAATACTTGTAAATAATATATAGGAACAATTTGGTGGTAATGATGGCTTCTTTTGTTTAACAATTCAAGGTATTTTTTTCATGTTTTATATAAATAAAGAACTTGACTCGATTATAGATAGTGCACAACCAAGTGTACAACCCTGTAAGTAATAATTTATACAGTTGACTCATACTTACTAATCAACTTAAATTTGCAACAAAGGGCTCTTTATGTGACTTTAGGCAGGAAAGAAACACCTTTCATGCCTAACATAGCACTGTTAATACTCTGATATTTAGCAGTTGTTGATGGAATTAACCTATCTGAGGTAAACTAAAGCATTTAGGAATACATACTACAAGCTGGCCTAAAAACCATTAAACTGAGTTTTAGATCAGTACTCTCATTAGAAGATAAAAGTTTCAAAACCTCTACCAATAAGATCAAGAAGATCCAGGTTTCATCATTTAGAAAACAATGTAACACAGGTTTACATCTACACCAGCCTAATAGTTGAAAATGGTTTGCCAGGCTGGTCAACATATTTTTTTTTGCTCGCACCTAGAAACTACCCACAGGTTGTACAAGATTACATGGTCACCAGGACCAGGGTGATCATTATGATCCAAATCCTGATCTGAAATAATTCTATAAATTTAGGTGTACCAAAATTCAATTTTGGTACATCTTAATTTATGGTACTGCTTTCCTAGTAGTACCATGTTTAACTTGTTTCTCTGTACAGGGACTTAGTTTGATTTGTCCTGTTTCAAAGATATAGGGTAAAAAATTTAAAAACAAGAACCTCATCTGGAATGAACCAAACAATAATACAATAACATTATAATAGATAATAACCTAGAAACCTAAAGTCAAAAAAAAGAGCAAATTTTGGGTGTTATTTTCATTAACAAAAAAATTTAATTTAGACATCAACAATTAAATCAAATGTAAAGTTTTAAGTATAATACTTTTAAAGAGTGGAACACAAACTAATATAATATAATAAAAAATAATTTTAACCTGTTATGTATTTGCAATTGCATGCTTCTATATTTTACCTGTTATGTATTATTGTTAGTAGAATGTTTGAAATGTCTGTGTATAGTATTTAAATTGTATAGTGTTTAAATTATTTAGGTTCTTTCAGGGTGGCCAGGCAATTTTTGATTTAATTTTCCCTGACTGTTACTATGTTGTAACCAAGAATCAGCAAGACTAATTATCGTATATGGACGATGACAAACGGCTTATATCAGCATTAATAGCAACCGATTCCCTTTCAACATCCTTTTCTAATCTGGCTTTTTTGGCCTTTAACTCTTTTATTAATTGTATGGCACACCGCTTTTCACACAGTTCCTTTTGTTGTTCTTCTTTATTTTTTCTCCTGTCAGACAGAGCTTGTTGGTATCGGTCATACAATAAACAAACACTTTTCAACATTTTTGGTGTGATTTGTACATTGCACAACCCACCTACATCAAGGATTGCATCATAAACTTGTTGTTGGGCAACTACAGATTCTGCTGCAAGATTTTCTACTAGAACATTTGAGTTAATACTAAAACCTTAGTATTAACTCAAATGTTCTAGTAGAAAATACTAAGCCATGAGATAAAATCATTACAATTTTTGCTATTTCAAACAACGCTGAGTATTGCATATCTTCTTCAATTAGTTCATAGTAAAAATCACCTAAACGTTGCTTAGTGAAATAAAAATTTTCAAAAATCTCCATTTTTAATGATGCCAAATTGCATTTAAAAAAGCCTTGTATTTAAGTGGAGAACGCTCTTTTAATTTAGTGACTACAGCAATTAAAAAGCCAATGCATTCTTCTCGAAATTTAACTTTTTGACTACTAACAGTTTTACAATTCTGTAACTCAAAAACAGCTCTAACACCAATTACCACGTCTCTCCAATTGCACTTTTCATTCTGCAGATCTATCTTCCACAACTTTTGTAATGAATCACCTTTTGTGAAAACATCTTTTTTGATAAATCTCTCCATGAGGCATGACATCAGATGATATAACTCATCAGATAGGGAAGGAACTTAAGAACTTGGTGACTGAAATTGCATAAGAAATGGTTCTACTACATTGGCAACAGACAAAAAAAAACTGATTTTAGCTTTGATTAGAGGATCTGTGATAGCTTCAATAACATTTTGTGCAGTAATAGTCATCGGTAATTTTGACCTTTCTACGTAAGTTTTCACATTGTTAAAAATTTCAAGAGCTCTCTCTGCAACTGCAGCATTCTCCACTCACCACGTTGTACAAAATTTTAAAGGAAATTTTGCTTTACCGTTTATTGTTAAATAGTCTGCTCTACAAGCAGGACAATCTTTAAAAAGTCTATATAAGGAACTTAATGCTAAATTAACTTTCCAACCAGCTTCTTTGTGCCCTTTCTGAAATGCCCCACGAGCTACATGGAGGCCAAATGATCTGATGTTAATTAACTGAATATCAAATTTTGCTGAATGACTTTCTTCTAGAGCATCAAAAATTTTCCAGTTCACATTGGGTGAATCCATAGAAACTTGAATTAATTTTGGCAATAACATGTCCCCAATCACTGCATTAAAGCTGTCTTTTAGTTTATTAGCAGTTGCATGCCCTAAAAAAACAGATGAAAAGTAACAAGTAATAGCTTTATGTTTCTCTATATCCCAAAAGCGCACACATATATCCATTTGGCTTTGTTGTATTACTCCGTTAAGTGCCTCGTCAAACATGTACAAAAAATTGCAATTTCAAATATTTTGCAGAAGAACATCATGGAAATAGGGAGCAATACCGTAAGTTATGTTATAGGCAATCTTTGTCTTTCCAAGCTTGAACTGCTTAGCTATTTCACTGTCAGGAAACATTTGTTTAAATGTTTTTTCTATATTAATACAGGACCTATAAGATTCATGGTGGGATACAACTCGTAAAGCTCAGTTAATTTCTGCTTTTGTGACTTCATCTCGTATAGCATAGCTATCAACTGTTTTCTGAATGCTTGCAGAACTTACATGACTCAAAGCACATGAACTGTTTTAATTTGATTTGCATCTTTTACAGTATTGTTTGAAGCTAATTCTTGGATTTGATGTTTACTAAATAAAGAATAGATTGGCAACTGGTTCTTATACAAACTAACACTATTGGCATGCTCTTTAATTCTTTCATGACTTTTTACTGCCTGAATGCCCTGAATGTTACTTAAATCAAATGTTTTTCGACAAATAGAACACATTGCCTGTGCAGGACTATTAGAAACTTCTTTTAGCCAAAACCAATCAGCCTAAAGCGTTTTATTTAACCAATCTTTGCTGAAGTAACATTGATTTGACATTTTTTTAAATATATTTTTAAACACAAGTTGTAAGCACATTTATATAAGTACAACACAAATTTCTAACTTTTTTAAATATTTTGGAATTAAAAGTATGAATATTAATTTAAAACAAACACTATGTATATTTATAGAATTTGACTATTTGCTATAACAAAAAATACTACAGTGATATATTAGAACTAATTTTCTAACAAATAACACAATATGACAAAATAAAAATTTTGTTCCCTTTCACAAATTTAGTCATTTAGCCCTTTTGAAATAAGTGAAAAAAGGGACTGCAACAAATTGCTTTCCTGTTTGATCTTTACACAATATTGACATAATATTTTTGAAAAGTAAGAACCAAAATGTGAAAAAGAAGAATAATAAAGTTATACAAAATAATTATATAGCATATAAAATGTAAGATTTTTAGTTTCTAATACGCAATAAAATATAAATATTTTGTTACTGAATCCACCAAAATTCCTTACTTTTCTATGACTTTTGGAAAATTTAACATATTCCCTGACTTTTTATCATAGTTTAGAATTTCCGACTTTTTCAGGTTTTCCAGGTTTTCTAGGTTGCTGGCCACCCTGTGACTTTATTAAAATTTTTAAAATCTTAAAAAATGAAAATTCTGTTTTTATTTGAAACTCCATGATCATTGTCCTCTGGTTAAACAAATTATAAAAATAAATAATATTTCTATACTTACAAAAATTATGCATGGACGGCCAATTTTTCATTTCTTCATCTGATTTTTTAGTATATGGTCCAAAAAAAAAAAGAGGAACGCCTAAATACAAAAAAAAAAAAAAAAATTACAATAAAATACCAGGGTAAGTAAATAAATAAAAACTAAATTTAACAATTAGTTCTTTATTTTTTAATTTTTCTAATCCAAACCTCAACACTTGTATATAAATTACTTTACTCTCAAGTCCCTAGTAAAACTGGGGGAGGACATTTACTAACTTTTGAAAATTTTCCCACCCACCCGAAGCTTGTTAAGCCCCCGTATTAATTTTTACTTGTTATGAAAAAAAAAAAAAAAAATCAGTGAAAATCGGCCTTAAAAATTAGAAAATAATTATTTCAGTCACTGATAAAAACAAAATTTTTCAGTGTAAACAGGTTTTAAAAATCACCACCAAGTAAATCTCCATTTATCGAAAATGAGCTTTTCATTTATTTCTCACCAAAATATTAATCAACATATTAAATCCTATTGAAATTATTATAAAACAGCTGCTAGAAAATGAGCATTTGACTGCAAGCAGCGCTAGATTTAAATAGTTTTATGCATGTTTTGTAAAAAAATTAGTTCGGATTTATAAACTCCCTTATATTAAGGACTGGAGAGTATCACAAATACAATTTAGTTATTGTTAGCCAAATTGTTTCAAGATATATAATATGTGTAGATTGTTATGTGAGACTTGATGCAGCTCAATCTTTCGTCTTTTTTTTTTTTAATCTGTTAATAAAATCACCTACTCAAGACTTCAGAAAACACTTTTTTTTTTATTCAATTTGCAACTGTCAATACTAAACTTTGAAACACAAACCTTGTTGACTGTTGGATAGTAAAACAGGTTGAGCACAAAACCCTGGGTAAATTTAAACATCAAACCTTTTCATTGTGAGCCAACTATTCTACCACAAGTCTACCACCATGGCTGACATCACCTGTAGGGGAGAAGGGGGATGGGCACAGTGAGGGGAGGGACACAAACCTTCCAAATTTTAAAGGGCCTTTTTTTTATTTTCAAGAAACTTTAAGATATAGAGAAATTTTTTTAGAAATTGATGATTGTGCCACCCCATTTCAAAACCCATACTGTCATACTTGACTACCGCATAATTATTGAATATAGATGAAAATTTTACTAAGTAAAAAATATTTGAAATTTTTAAACTTAAAAGCTGTCTTTGCATTAAGATCATCGTCAAAAAATCATCATATTTTCTCTCTTTTCCTCCAATAGCAAAGTTGCCCCCAACTTTGCAATATCTTTCATTTTATCCTCGCTCTTCCTTTACTGACAAAAAATTTTTTTTGGCTTGTTCCACATAAAAGGCAGTCTTTTTTTAGGATCACTGAGGTTTTTGTATGACCGTTTTGAGATCTTTGAGATTTCAAATAGGTTATGTTATGTAATCTCAAAGTTTTCATTTGTCTCCTGTTTGAGTTACTTAAGATCTTCAATTCAAAATAAAATAAAGACTTTTTGATAATTTTTGTCTTTGATGTCTCTTTTTTTGCATCGTGACAAATGAAAAACTCAGATACTTCATTATGTTGAAGTCTTTGAAATACAAATAATTCAGGTGTTTGTTATTTGAATCATAACTAATAAAAACGTCTCAATTAATTAAAAATTCTGTTGATATTTAAAAAAAAACTTAAATAGGGAAAGTTTATTTTTAAAGCATTAACAAAAAATTTATAGGATTTTCCAGATGTGCATTTAGTTTTAGGGAGGGTCCTGGTGAATAATAATTTTTACAATAGATGGTAAAATACTAACTATTCTTTCGGTCTTTTTTTTTACGTCAAGTATATGCTTGTTAAAAAAGTAAGCAGGACTACAGAGATTTAAGTCATGCCGAATCATTTTTTCTACTAGGAAAACTGTGAAGTAAAATAAACCAGCATTTGAACATCTATTACACTTAATCACTTAAACATTTATCGATCGCTTGATTCAATTTCTTTTTTCGGTCTATGTCAATAAGTTAAATTAGATCAATTAATTTAAATCAATGTCAATCTCAATAAGTTTGGATACTATGTGCTTTTTAAATTTTATCTTGAATCTCTTTCTAAAACTTTTTATTGACACTGGGTCCATCCATAGAAAAACTTTGCTGGTATTGAAATCACATACTCAAATATCAGATAAGTCCATTTGACAACTCTGAGTTTTTTTATTAAGAGATTTATCAAAAGAGACTAAAAGCCAAGTGGTTTATTTTAGTTTGCCTTGATGTGAAGCTTTGAAATGAATCCCAAGGGTATATCTTTATTTGGACCCATTAAAAAAAGACTCTTTAATTTCACTGTTAAAGAAAATAACTTGAAGTGATTCAGTTGCAGTTTTGTATGAATTTTTATAAATTTTATCAAACCAACAGTGCAATACCCATATAATTTGTTAACAGATTATTTTAGTACTTGATACAATATATTCATTAAAACAAACATTTTAAAATTGCTTCATATAACTTTTAAAATTGGTTAAAAAATGATTTCAGTTAAAATAAAATAAAAATTACTGGAAACTCCTAAAACAATAGCAACACAAACTGTTGGATCTTGTACCCAAGCTTTCCTGAATAATGCAGCAATAGAAGCCATGTCTACACTAGTTTTATATTATAACCGCGTTCGTCTAAATTACGGACTTGTTCAATAACCGTTGCTTAACAGATGTGAAGGAACGGTCATTAAACAAGTTCGTGATGTTGGCTCGCGAGCCGCGTCTTTTATCCAAATTTTGTAGCTCTTTAACATGTCCAAATTGTATATACTTAAATTTTATTGAAACAAATAAAAAATTTAATCAATTATAGTAAAAGTATTTTTTCAAAAAAAAAAATTAATTTATGAAATAGGCATAAATCCGTGTTTTACAGAACCAATGTTTATGCTATTATTATTATTATTATTATTATTATTATTTTTAAGTTGATTACGGTGTGCCAAGAAGTCCTTTCGGTCTTATCACAGATCACCGCGGAATAGCATTTAGTAGGAAGTTCACTCCTCCTTCCCAATCGATGTCGCAAAACTGGGATTTGAACCAGGGATCTTACGTTTCTGAGGCAAGTCGCTACCACTGCTCCACGGCTGCTATTATTCTGTGTCGCGATTTTTAATGCTTCATTTTCGCCAGTGAAGTAATAACATGTTTTTTGCTCTTATTTCTGGGAACTTTATATTAACTTAGATTTTTTTGAAAAATAGAATAGTAACAATTTTTTAATGTGTAGTCTTCGATTATACTAACCAATGTTAGAAATGGGTTTATTAATGTTGAAAATTTTGTTGTATTTCATTAAAACATTAAATTTGTATTTCATCTGCTCATTATTTTTCCATACTTTTTATCATCTATGTTTACACATTTTTTACACGCTTGCCAAACTTTATTGAAAAAATTTATTGAAAAGTTTGCATGCACAATAACTCTATTTTTACCCGCACTTTTGGTACCAAATTTCCATTTTCTTAAATCGTTACCGACAATAATAATAATAACTATTTTACTTTTTCAAACATAATACAATATAATTAACAACATCACATAAAAACGATAGTATATTGTACAACTGTATACTAAAAACAAATTTTTATTAGTAATTTGCTTTTATTTCCATTAAAAGCAAATTGTTATTTGCTTCTTATATTACTAAAAGCAAAACAATGATACGGGTTTGCTTTAGTATGTTGTTACATTACATTAAGTAAAGTTATTACTTTATTAAGTCTGTATTGTAGTTTGATATAATAATTTTCAGTGTGGTTAAAAGTATTAGTCACTTTTAAATATTTCTTACTGCCAACTTACTTGGCAATTGTATGAAAATATTCCAGCTGGTTGCTGATGTTTTATCAAACCAAGTAAATGTTTTCTTATTGTTAATATGTTACAATATTCCATCCTTAGTAATACAGTATTTCTTATCTATATTGTTAATTATCTTACTAATAAGACAACTATATTCTCCAGTGTTGACTATGGCCAACAACATCAATGGGAGGAGGCCTGGAAGCATGAGCTCCCACTCCCACTTTTTTTCTAAAGGACTTTTTTTAAATAGATATTTCAAAACAAAGAGGAACTTTTTTTCTAATTTGGGTCATATTATCTTGATATTTATATATGTAATGGTATATGTAATAATATGTCATTTAGGATAAACAAACCTCGTCAAATATATTGACTAATCGTAAATTGCACATTCTAACATCTGGTACAATATCTGTCCACTTTCTCTATGCTATCTTTCTAATTCGACTTCTTTTTTACTTTATGATCCTTTGTTCTTCTTAAAATCAATTACTCTTTGTCTGTGAAGCTGCTTATAATGCTCTTTAGTGAACTGAACTTTACTTCGCAGAACTTGATATGTGGCCTTTATATGGCAATTAGCCGCAGGAAGATAAACCACAATAACAATCTTTAATACTATTACTTACGTAATTTTAACAAAGTAAATTAAACTTGGAAAAGGTACAAGTCATTCTAGGTACCTATTCATTCTAGATCAGCCTATGTTTTTGCATTTAAAAACTTTTAAAAGTTTTTTTAAGTTATTTAGGTGTTCCCAGAAGTCCTTATGGTCATTATCGCGGAATAACACGGGAGAGCATTTAACTAGAGGTTCATGCCTCCTTCCTTACCAATGTCGCTTATTGGGTTGGAGCCGGCGTCGAACCTGGGACCTCTGGGTTCTGAGCCAGAACTCTAACCACTGCGCCACGGCGGCTAAGCTAAAAAGTTATAATGCTAAGGCTAATAACTTATAATGCTTATTGGAAATTTGATATGATAATTACATTTTAAAATGTTTTCAATTTTTTGAAAATTATTTATTTAAAGCATAAAGACGAAATTCATTTTCTTAGAAAAGAAATTGGACGCAAAAGTTTTATGCGCTTTGAAATGATTTTTAATGCATTAAGTTTAAGTGTCATATTGAAAAGAACAAAAATAATCTTTAATTAAATGTTTGTAGATTCAATAGTAAAGGGTTGTGTGTGCTGACTGATTTACCAAGGATTGGTAAAACTACAAGTAGCGGAGCTTGCAATTATTTTGATAGAGGGCTCTGGGTATATCATTATCAATGATTTTTATAAATTTGATTTTTATTAATTCTAACTTAAAAACCTAAGGTCAAAACATAAATTAAAATAAATTTAAGTAAATTCATTTCAAAACATTTTTTTCTTTAGAATATTTAACTTTTTTAGATCGGAGGGTGTTTACCCACCCTTTCCTCAAAAAAATATGGATACTCTGATGCATCTTGCTATGTGTTTTTATATTAAAATCTAATATTTTAAATATTAGTATTTAAAAATCTTATATTATAAAATAAAATCTTATATTTTAAAAGAAAATATTTTATGTTTTTTATGTTGGAGGGGAAAAAGCTCTTCTCAAGTTGATGAGTACAGCCTGTATGCTGTAAAGTAGTAAAACATAATTTTTATTTTTAATACTTGATCTATTTTTTTTTTGCATCTATTTTTTGATATCAAGTTATATAAGTTACATTTATATAAGAACTGAAAAAGTAGTTTTAGTTAATAAAAAATCATTTTCTTCAACAAATCTATATTTTGGACTTGAACTTAATTATAATCAACAAGCTAGACAGATTAATTTTCTTAACTCAAGATAAACCTTTTTAGTCTACCCCAGATTGAGGGGCTCACCTAACTACTGTAGGTTCAAATGAGTTAGCAATAACAAACAATTAACCACCAAAAACTTATCTAGATCCCTATCTCAAATTTTATTTGAAGTTATGACTGGGAGACATTGTTTAACAGTATAATGGAAGCCGAAAAATACAAAATTTCGATTAACAAATATAATGAAACTACCTCACTCTACATACCAAGTACAAAACCAGATCAGCTAAAAAAAGTCCGTTGGTTACTAATGAGACATTAATTATGCAAACTTTTCAAAAGCGTTCGACAAGGTACCGCACGGAAAACTTTTACATGAAGACGTATGACATTCGCTGTCAATTAAATATTAGGATAAAAAATTGGTTGACCAATAGAAAATAACTTTTTAAAATAGCTAACACACTGTCCCCATGGGGAAATGTACTTAGTGGAGTCCCTCAGGGTTCAATTATGGAACCGCTCCCTTTTGTGTTCTAAGTTAACGATTTACCGGATTTAATTTTGAGTCATTTAAAGATGTATGCAGACGACAGTAAGCTCATAGGAGTTATCAAGTCTGATAAAGATGCACAATGTCTTCAAGAAGATTTTTACACAGCTGTTAACTGGTCTGAAAAATGACTCAAGCTATTTAACATTGAAAAATGCAAATATTTTACCGAAATCAATATCGAAATTTCGGCTGTTTTATTGGAAAAATTTACTTAAAAAGGCAATTTTACATTTGTTGTTTTTTTATGCTCGTATTATTTTTAAATTGATTACACGTGTATCCCAAATTGATAATAATAATAATAGCGAAATTTAACATAATAATAAAAACGAAATTTAACATAACATTTAAAATAGCATAATAGCGAAATTTAACAACTCGCAGATTTTCTGTGCAAAACAAGATTTTTTTGAGGTATTTTGTGAAAATTCTCAAAATATTTTGTGATAATTCTAAAAAATAACTGTTTTTCTAGATTAGATATATATCGGTTTTGGGTATGCTTTTCAACCGAAATTTTGATTTTCACCAAATTTATAAAAAATTCCAAAACCGATATTTCGCTATCGGTTGAAATTAAAATTTCGGCCGAAACCGATACCTAAACAGAATTTCGACCAATCACTACTACTTATATTCGACCATATTTAGCGTGATCTCCTCATTGCATAGGAGATATAAAAACAATTTAAATTATAGGCATCAAACCACAAAACGAATTATGTCAATAAATCTACCCTTGCGTAAAACTCGCCACATGTGTAACTACCTTAAACAGCACTACAAAATAATTAATAAAATTAATTCAATCAATTTTTTGGCGCCACAAATTACAGTAGCTTATCGAGGATCTAAGTATAATTTAAGAACAAGGAATTAGTTTTTGATTTAGCGACCGAATAAATATCGAAACACAATGAAAATTCTTCATTAATCGAGTAATTAGATCTGAACAAAAATTCTTTCCTTCCCCTCCCCCTACCTCCAGCTCCTTTTATTTTCCCCTCCTTCCTTGGATTAAGAAGAGTATGCGTTTTAAACAAATTCTCTAACACGAAGTGTTTTTATTGTGCGCGATCTCATTAAATTTTTTAATAATAATTATTGATAACTGAATAAAGATAGAAATAAAAATATCATAAAAACTTAAAACGTCATGACTTTTTATGGAGTTGTTCGATTTTGATAATTTTTTCAATTTAGAAATATTAGAATTTGATTTCAAAATTTGAAAAATAATGATTCGAAGTTGAATAAGAATTTAGTTGAATAGAATTATATTAAAATAAAATACGTAATTGTAAATAAAGTATTGCTCAAACACAGACTTAGTTCCGCAAAAGTCTGTAAATAAAATTGGCACGCAAAAATTTCAACATTGTAATGTTGACATTTTCGGCTAACCCTTAACCCTTCTCTTTTCCCGAATAAATTAAACTTCTACTTGTAAAGACTTTTTAACTTGTATGAACTTGTTTTGTTTATATGGTTTCATAATTCAAAACACCTTT